GGAGGAATTGGAGGGCCACCCACAAACCTCATTCCACTGTGAAGAGCTCCCTCCTGTTGTTGTTCATGTACGCCTGTGTTGAAAATGCTAGCTCACAGAGCAATGCTGTTACAAACAGCAAGTGTACAGCAACAGCAGGGTCAGAGATTGTCACATATTCATGTACCACAGTCAGCCAAAACATATACAACGATACCCCTTCAAATTTCAACTTAATTGTTTGATCCATTTGTAGCTCTCCATATTCCCCTTTTTTCTTTTAAAGATCAGATTTTGTGATGAATCAGATGACAGTGACTTAAGCAGATCGTGTATCGAGTTGTAGCTTTCCACATTTGTTGAGGGGAAGTAAAATTCAAACTTCTGTTACAGCTTTTTGATGTTTCTGGATGTGATGCCGTGCACCTTGATAGCTGAGTCTGCGCTGACAGTGCGAGTGGAAACATCTCAAGTGAAGTCCTGTCATTTTTCCTTGTCAAAGGCCCAGTTTTGACCTGAAACCTTCAATTTCTGTGATGGTCAGGATCTTCCCCTGCATTCGATTGATTGATTTATTGATGCCACATGTACCGAGATACAGTGCAAAGTGTTGTTTTCTGCACTATACAGGCAGATCATACCATACAAAGTGCATCAGGGTAGCAGAACAGAGTGCAGAATACAGTGTTACAGCCACAGAGAAGGTGCAGAGAGAGAGAAATTAATATTGAGAGGCCCATTCAAAAGTCTGATCACAGCGGGAAAAATAAACTGTTCTTGAATCTGTCTGCGCGTGTATTTATTCAAACGTTTATATCTTCTGCCCAATGGAAGGGGGTGGAAGAGAGTATAACCAAGGTGGGAGGGGCCTTTGATTATGTTGGTTGCTTTCCCAAGACAATGGGAAGTATAGATGGAGTCAATGGTTGGAAGGCTGGTTTGTGTGATGTGGCTGTGTTCATGACTCTCTATAATCTCTTGCAGTCTTGAGAAGAACAGTTGCCCTACCAAGCTGTGATGCATCCCAAAAGGATGCTTTCTGTGAAGCATCTATAAAAATTAGAAGAGTCCTTGTGGACATGCCGAATTTCCTTAGCCTCCTGAGGAAGTAAAGACCTTGTTGTGCTTTCTTGACCATAGTATTGACGAGGACGGACCAGGACAGAGTGTTGGTGATTGTCATTCCTAGGAACTTGAAGCTCTCGGCAATTTCCACCTCAGCACCATTGATGCAGACAGGGGTGTGCCCTCCACTCTGCTTCCTGAAGTCTGCTCCTTTGTTTTGCTGATGTTGATGGACAGGACAGTCCTGATGAAGGGTTTCAGCCCGAAACGTTGACTTCCCTGCTCCTCGGATGCTGTCTGACCTGCTGTGCTTTTCCAGTTCCACATTTATTGACTCTAGCTTCCAGCATCTGCAGTCCTTACTGACTCCAAGTGATGGAGAGATTGTTGTCTTTACAGCTTGCCGTTAAGCACTCAATTTCTTTCCCATATTCCGTCTCGTTGTTGTTTGAGATCCGACCTACAATAGCAGTCACGTCAGCAAACGTGTAAGCATTTTGGTATTCGGCTCATTCAGATAGCTGGAAATGTCTGTGAGACATGCCAGCTTAACTTTCCAGTAATCATCAGACAATAACTCTTCATAAGACAATTCATGCATTGTTGAAAACTCTTTGTCAGTTCTCACTGGAGCTCACAAAACATGACAAAGAACCTGGCCCAATGATAACCATCGCACCTCAGTATGCATCTGATGTCCTGTCACATCCAATCATGAGTGGTGGTAGACAATTAACTCACTGGATGTGGCTTCACAAGTATTCCCATTCTCAAAGATATGGCAGCCCATAAAGTGCAAAATACAATGCTTAAGCAGTCATAACAATCTTCAGCCAGGATGGCCACTCATGCTCCTAATCTCAATAAACTGGGTCAATATTGCAAAGATTTGAAATCAAGGCATGTACAGAGTATGCATCACAAAGCCCCAGTAAAATTGAGGTCAATGCAAATCAGGTAGAAAACCCTACATTGGTTAGAGTAACATCTAGCGCAAAAGGAAGATACTTATGGTTGTTGGAGGATAATCATTTCAGCCACAGTGCATCACTGCAGGAGTTTCTCAGGGCCATGTTCCAAGCTCAACCAGCTTCAGCTGTTTCAACAATCTTTCCTCCATTATAAAAAAGGTGGAAGTAGAGTCCATAATTGATTGTTGCACAATGTTCAGTTCCATCACAATTTTCAGTATCAATCCATGCTATCAAGACCCTGAAGGTTATGTCAGTCCAGTTTAGTTTCTAATCAACTGTAAAAATGTAGTTGGAAGAGCATGTCAGAGGCTGGGAATCCTGCAGTGAATAATTACCTCCTGATGTCCCAAAGCTGGCCACAGTCCGCAAGACACAAGTCAGGAGCATGATGAAATAATCCCACTTGTCTGGATAAATTCTGCTCCAACACTCAGGAAGCACGGCACCATCCAGGTCAAAGTAGCCAGTGTGCCCTATGAACACTTACATCCTCTGCTAGAGACAGACATTCTCCAAGGCTCCATGGACAGCACCTTCCAAACCCATGACCACTTCCATCTAGAAGGGCAAGGGCAGCAGATAGATGGGAACACCACCAACTGCAAGATCGCCTGCAAACCACTCACTTAACTGACTTGGAAATATACATTCCTTCCGTGTCACTGGGTCAAAATCCTCAAATTCTGTCCTTGCCACTGTGGTTGTACCTACACCAAATGAACTGCAATAGTTTGAAATGGTAGCTCACCACCACTGAGGGCAACAAGGATGAGAAACAAATGTAACCTGTCAATGATACTCATATCAAATGAAATATGAATATTTTTCTAAGAAGTAAATTTCCGTATCTGCAAAACAAGCAGAGAGAAAAAAAGTAAGTCATTGTAGGAAATCTAAAAGGTTTGTCTAAAAATTTGTGTATTTAGGGTTCCAATTAACCAATAGTCCACAATTTAGGCACTCCTGATCTATATTTTGGGCAACTTTGCATCAATATGGGCCTACAATATATTCAAACATTATGTTTTGGGCCTGATATGTGTCAACAAAGTCTTATTTCCAGTCATTTTTTTTTAACATTTACAAATGCTGGCATTAACATTTCCAATAACACTGGCACGTGTCACACCTATAGCCTCCCACCTGTGGAGCCTTGTATTCCCTCCACTTCATAAGGATTCTTATGCTCCCACCAATTCCAACTTTAAAATTGCTGTAGGATTCACTAATTACAGAGATTCAATAAATGCTAAATAGTAATGAAAGAATTAAGTTCTTTGAAATGAGGATTGAATTTTGTCTGCATTTCAGTCCTATTATTCCTTTGGCTTCAATCTGCATTTGATTTGAAGACTTCTCTGAGGGGGATGGGTTTTAGGCCTTGCTGGATATGGAGGTAGGAGGGTGCTAAAAAATAGAACTGCCAGCCAGCATGTTGGTTCCCTTGCTCTGTCCTTCCAATAGCAAAGTTGAAGAAGGGAGGCAGGCAGCATCCTTGACAGGATAGCCAAATGGGATTTTCCCTCTTGGTCTCCAGGTGGTGGGAAACAACACAACTGAGTTTGGTTGCAGAGCAGGGTTGGGGTATGGTTTTAGTGAAAGTGGTTAATGGTAATAGTGTAAAACAGGCTGATGGTTATTCGCCCCTATTGTGTTTTCAATGAGGTTAGTGATAATGGATGGGCAGTAAAGTGAGAGCTTGGAATGACTGACAGGATCCATCAAAAGACTCAGCCTGATTAAGGGTTTCAGGTAGTTGGGTGCAGTGTATGAAAGTAAGGGGTGGAACGAGGTCAGAATAGAAAGGAAAGGGCAAGGCTGAAAAAAGGGATGTGGAGGTAAAACTAGGGGCAAATTTAAAAGCAATGAGATGAGAGAATTTTGGGATTGAGGGGTGAAGGAAGGAGGGGAAGAAGGTTACTGTAAGTAAATCCTGCAATCTTAGACTTCTAGTGAAATAACTCCACAGAGGATGGTATCCTGTCACCAAGTCACGCTTTAATTACACATGCATAGTACATGACACTGACCAAGCTAGCACAGAGCTGGCTTCTAGAGTGAACAGAAACTCTGACACTCCTGTTTATATCTGTCAGCAGGACTCCCTGATTGGACCAGGTTAACAGCCCCAATCAGGAAACTCATATTCTGTGAGGCCCACTAGGCTGACCTCATTCTAATCACTACACCTATGACAGAAGGTGACCATTCAGCCCTTAAGGCCCGTGTTATGTTTGAAGCAATTATCCAGTTTTTTCATCCCCCCCACCTTAAAATATTGCTTAAAAAGAAACATTGAATTGAAGCTTTGTCTTCCATTCATTAGGACTGAAATGCAAAGAAAATCAATTTTAGAGGGAAACAATTTATCCAGCATGAGAAGAATATGCTGATGGGTTGGACTGTGGTTGGCATGGAGTTACAGCAGGAACTGTTACCTGTTAATCTTAGTTAGGAGATTTATCTTTCCTCAGTGCTGTTGGTGTTCTGATTATCAAATTACCTTTTGAATGTTTGCAACATGGGTGTAATGGGCTGAACACGTTTCTTTTATGCTGTAACTTTACAGATACAAATAAATGAATGTTGAGTTAGCCCTTTTGCAGGATTCAAAAGGGTTAACCTGGTCAAATTTGTTGTTAGAAAACAGTTCTAATATCTTCAGCTGGTGTAGAATAGATGGACAGAATGACCTCCTTTAATGTAAAGGCTCCAACAATTCAGTGAGCTAAATTTATAAATCTAAGTGTACCAGGGGAAGCCAGACTGAACCTTTTAGCTGGGAGATAAATTTTCAAAATAGTTATCTACAAATAGCTATTTGAATTAAAGTGTCAATAAGTTGATTGAGATTTCTTTCTGAAAAAGGTGGCATTGGGGATATACTAACAACTGTTTATGAAGAGAGTTTAAAGGGAGGCCTCTGGGTTTAATTGCTTTCATTAAGTTCTAAAAATTTTTATGATCTCACCACTGTTCTAGGTTGGATCTCAAGCAACAACAAGACAGAATACAGGAAAGAGGTTGAGTACTTAACGGCGTGGTGTAAAAACAATAATCTTTCCAGCAACATCCTTGAAACAAAAGTGCTGCTCATTGACTTCAGGAAACAGAGTGGAGAGCACGCCTCTGTCTGTATCAATGGTGCTGAGGTGGAGATGGTTGAGAGCATCAAGTTCCTGGCAGTGATGATTGCCAACAATCTGTTCTGGTCCACCCATGTTGACACTATGGTCAAGAAAGCACAGCAACGCTTCTACTTCCTCAGGGGGCTAAGAAAATTTTTATCAAAGGCATCCTATCTGGATGCATCACAGTGTTGTATGGCAACTGCTCTTCCCAAGACCGCAAGAAACTATAAAGAGTTGTGAACATAGCCCAGCCCATCACACAAACCAACATCGTATTCATTGACTCCATCTATACTCCCCGCTGCCTTGGGAAACCAATCAACATAATCAAAGACCCCTCCGACCCCGGTAATACTGTCTTCCACCCTCTTCAGTTGGACAGAAGATGTAAAAAGTTTGGAAACACATACGAACACATTCAAGAACAGCTTCTTCTCTTGGGGTTGGTTGGCTCACTGAGGTGGTTTGTTGTTTTGCATTTTGTTCTGCTGTTTTCTGTGCTTGTGGGTTGTTGATGAATGGTTTGTAACTCATGCCGCGTAGTAATACCTGCAAAACAACAAACCAGCTTGGCGAGCCAATCAACCTCAAAACCCACAACCCGAGCTACAGATCTACTCCAAAATCTTAGAGCTTCTTCTCTGCTGTTAGACTTTTGAAAGGATTCTTTTAATGCTAATATTGATCCCGCTGTAGCTTGCCAGCATCTGTAACATTGTATCCTGCACTCTGTTCTATTACCCAAATGTACTTTGTATGGAATGATCTGCCTGTAAATCACGTAAAACAACACTTTTCACTGTATCTCAGTACACATTACAGTAATAAATCAAATCAAAAGTGTAATTACAAAAGGGTTAATTAGGGCTATGTTTCTAGGGTTCAAAAAGTATGGGGTGATATTCCAATACTTAATATCAACTCACCACCAAACCCAATGATTATAAATTGGGTAGTATTTAGGAATCTGAGACTAGCTAATCATTTACAGGGGTCAACCAAATCTGACTTCATTCAGGATGGAGCAAACATTGGTTTCATCTAAGTGAAGTGGTCAAAGTCATCACGAAGCTAATTTGTAAGCCAGCCTGGGACTTTGGACCGTCGTCTCGTTTTGACCAGTGGATTACATAGAACAAATTTGAACTGTAATTTTAGCTGCATTCATAAATAAAAAGGACACAACAAGTACTGTTGGAGAAAAGGCTTGAATTCAGAATTCAGCAGTAAACAAAAAGTAACAATTAGAAGGGATGTTAAAAAGAAATAATTTCAGAGAGAGCAGAATGAATTACTTTCTCCCAAAGAAACAAACCACAGCAATGAAAGCACCAAAGTCCAGTAACTGCACTGACTGAAAAAGTTAGTGTACCCTAGATCTTAGGCACACAGTTAAAAGTTGAAATCCACTTCAGGAGTTAAACATTGCCTGGTGGGAGCAGTTCATTCACACTGCTGTCATGGAATCAGATGTCAAGTAGAAATCCTACTTGTCTCTCCAGTTGGACAATAAAATCCTCTTGGTACTTTATGAACCTAGAGTTATCCTGAGTCTGTCATAACCTTAGGGCTTTGCCACCATGAAGTATTTCTGAAGAGTACTTACTGTTGCAGGAAACATAGAATCCCAACAGTGGGGAAGCAGGCCATTCAGTTCACACTAATCCTCTAAAGAGCATCCCACCAACCCCATCCTAACCATGCATTTCCCATGGTTAATCCACTTAACCTACACATCCTTGGATGCTATGGGCAATTTAGCAAGGCCAATCCACCTAACCTATGCTTCTTTGGGCTATGGGAGGAAACCAGAGCACCCAGAGGGATCCCATGCAGACACAGGGAGAATATGCAATCACCACATAGACAGTCGCCCAAGGCTGGAATTGAACCCAGGTCCCTGGTGCTACAAAGCAACAGTGCTAACCACTGAGCCACTGTACTGCCCACAAATGGCAGCTAATTTGTACTAGTGCGCACTAAAGCATTGTAATAACAGCCATATAATTGGTTGTTAGCTATGTTGCTCGAGAAGTAAATATTGGTCAGGAAACCTATTGAATTCACTTCACACATCAAAAGATAGGAGAGCTGAAACATTAGATGTTAGATGTACAAGGGGATGATCACTTTTAATGGGAAATACCATACTATGAAACAAAAGACTATTGTAGGCATTACGTGTGTAACCAGGTTGGATATTAGATTCCTTCCTGAAGATAAGGAAACAATATTTGTGTAAAGACTTTTTCCATGTTGGAAGAAAGTAACATAAAGGGTATGTGGGATGTACAAAGTAAAAAAGTAGATTTTGAATCTATATGTATCTTATTTACTGAAACAATACACAGTTAATATTCCCAGAAACAAAAAGCAAATAGCTGGTGTTTTAAGGAATTTCCTGGATGGACCAGTTAATGTGATCTAAATGGCCTTCTTTAGTTCAGGGACGCCTTGTGGACAGAGGTGCAGATTTCAGCCCCTAGCCTTCATAGACAATGGTTTGCAATAGTGGATTAATCCAGTGTCAAACTCGCAGAAAGCACTTTTAAAAAATTTGCTCATGGGATGTCACTGTCACTGGCAGACTGGCATTTATTGCCCATCCCTAACTGCCCTGAAATGGTGGTGGTGAGCTGCCTTCTTGACCTATTGGAGTCCATTGCAGTGGGGGGAGGGGGGTGGGGTGGGAGACAAGGGAGTCAGATGCATAGAAACAGAAAATAGGAGCTGATATAGGCCATTCAGCCTTTCAAGTCTCTGCCATTCATAGAGAGTCAGCGTCACACAAATGGAAACAGATCCTTTGACCAACCAGTCCATGCCGACCATAATCTCAAACTAAGCTCATCCCAACTGCCTGCACTTGGCTAATATCCCTCCAAACCTTCCTTATTTATGTACTTATCCAGATGTCTTTTAAACTTTGTAACTGTATCCACATCCATGACTTCCTCTGTAAGTTAATTCCACACGTGAACGGTGTAAAAAAATTGCTCCTTGTGTCTTTTTAAATCTTTCTCCTCTCACCATAAAACTATGCTCCCTAGTCTCAAAATCCCCCACCCTAGGGAAAAGACACCTGCCATTCATCTTATCTATTCACCTCATGATTTTAAACACCTCTATAAGGTCACCTCTCAACCTCTTACACACCAGTGAACAAAGTCCCAGCTTATCCAGCCACTCCTTATAACTTAAACCTTCTATACCTAGCAACATCCTGGTAAATCTCTTCTGAACCATCTCCAGCTTAATAATATCCTTCCTATATTAATTATGATCACGGCTGATTATCCAACTGAGTACCCTGTTTCCACATTCTCCCTGCACCCTTTAAACCTTCTGGCCCCAAGAACTATATGTCACTTCTTAAAGACATTCAATGTTTTGGCCTCAACTGCATAGTGGTAGAGAATTCCACAGGCTCACTACTTATAGTGGAAGAAATTTCTCCTCCTTCATCCTAAATGCATAATTACAAAATGTAATAAAGATAGACAATTAGTATGTTATAGACAATACAAGAGTATATAATCTGAAAGAGTAAACAAAATATGTACATGATGGAAAACAGATGGAAGACAGTTACATTTTTAACCAGTTAATCCAATGATTGGTGATGGCGATTTTATAATTGGTACTGTTAACAGGATAGTTTTGAATAGTGGCTTTCAGCATTAACTTAGGTTGCATATTGGCTGTAACATATTAGTTGTATGTATGCACATACACAGTAGGAAATAGGGTCTGTTTCATGTCAAGATCAGAATTTCAGATCTCTTTATTTTGACCTCCTTAGAGGAGGTGATAACCTTATTATAATACATCACTGGACTGTTAATGCCAGGGTAGATGGTGGAATTTGAATTCAATAAAAGCATTTGGAATTAAGAGTCGAATGATGACCACAAATCCATTGTTAATTGTCAGGGAAAAAAACCCATCTGGTTTACTTATGTCCTTTAGGGAAGGAAACTGCCATCCTTACCTGGTCTGGACCTCATGTGACTCTAGACCCACAGCAATGTGGTTGATTCTTAACTGTTCTCTGCATAACTAGAAATGGGCAATAAATGCTGACCTAGCCAGCAGCACCCTCATCCTGTGAATGAATCAAAAAATACATCTGGGTTTACCAGTAGATTTCAGCATCTGGAGACAGTTCGATTATTGACGAGTCATTCTGATACATATACAGATTCAGACTCTATTAGATACCAATACAACATTCTCTTTACAGATCCAGCAAAGCCTTCACACTGGCCTGTCCTTAAAATAGGTTCCCTGTGTTTGCCTTCCTCTCTGCAACTCCACTCCCCCCACTGATTCACTTTCTACCCATCCTCCCCTTCCTCTTCATATGGGAGGGGGCAAGATGAAGTCAGGAATTTAACATAGTGGCAACAACAGAAATATGGCTTAAATATGATGAGGACTGGGTGTTCATCACTCTAACATGGTCAGAAAAGATAGGGAAAGGGAGGTAGATATAGCAACACTGATTGGGTAAGACATTGTTATGTCAGAAAGGGGCTACAGTTGAGAGATCATGGAGAGAATCCATTTGGTTAGAATGGAGAAACAAAGTAAGATGATATTCTTGGGGGCATTCACAATGCAGTGTTTGATTACAGAAACATGAAAAATATTGTTCTGTATTTGATCACATGAGGTTGGTAACTGATCTTTGCTCACTGTGTTTTTTAAAAATTCATTCACAGGATGAGGACATCACTGGCTAAGCAACCATTTATTGCCCATCCCCAGTTGTTAAGAGTTAACCATACTGCTGTGTGCCTGGAGTCGCATGTAGGTCAGACTAGGTAAGGATTGCAGTCTCCCTCCCTAAAGGGGAAGGACCAGATGGGATTTTCCTGACAGTCAACAATGGATTCACGGTCATCATTAGACTCTTAATTCCAGATATTTATTGAATTCAAATTCCACCATCCACCATGGTAAGATTCGAACCCAAGTCCCCAGAACATTACCTGG